ACCTGGAACCTGCCTGCCCAGCGGAATCAGCAGACAGATCCTCTACTGAGCAAAGGGTTTCCAGGTGGTTTCTGCTGTGAAAGGGGCCTAAGAATATAAGAAACAAGTTAGGAGTGAGATGTTGGTCTTCCAATGGCCCTTTTATATGTTCACAACAGAAATACCCCATAAATTCAGATTCAATACAGTAACTTACTGACCTTAGATCTTTCAACTGTTGAGAATTATACCTATACCTTATACCTTTTTTATTCTTTAAAATTTAAATAATAAAAAAAACTACCAGAATTATATCTGCAGATCAGTGGATTCAAACTGGCAAAACAGATCAAGAAATTGGATCAGGTGAATTGGCACTTGAGAACATTTTTAATAAGTTCATTATTGACAATTTAGTGTCATGAAAGTTTTCTTTCATAAATGTTGAAAAACTACTTTTTAGTCTACTGTCATCATAATTGGACTTTTAAATCAATGTACCTTTCAAGATTTACTTAGACAATATGAAAAAATACAATGAATAATCTTAGCATTGAATGAAGGGGCAAGAAACAGCTTTTCACTCCTTCTCTGAGAACATTCAAACAATGTAGAGAAGATTGCTCTAACTATTATGCAAAAGTGGGATCTCAGTTGTCGCTATAACTTTCCCATTACTAAAATTAATAATAGAATATAGTTAAAAGAATAGCATACACCCTTTTTTTACAACTTGAGCTACGCATAGCTGAAAATTGTTTGGAATTAAGTTTTAGATTGAAAAGCTATGTCTCTAAACGTGAAAGTGACTTGATTATAGTATAGGTAACATGTTATGGAGAATAATAGACATTTCTACTGAGCTATAATGGTATGTTGAATAATAGCTAAACCCTTCTGACTATATTACGTGCTTTAAATACCTTCATGGCAATTTTAATAGTGAAGGTGGAAATGGTGAAGCCAAGAAAATACAACTACAGGGTGTATGCTGCCATCTTTTTAATGTCTAAGTGGCACTGGAGTGAAGAAGATTGGTCTGGGCAGACGTCCTGTGATATTGCCTGGAACAATAAAGTTTAGTGAAGGCTGATGTCATTGAAGTATGGCCGGTGTTTTGAAGGGAGTGCCAATGTACTTTATTGGCCAGCACCTGGAGCCAAAGAGACTGGTGAACTGAGCAGTGGCTTACTTTGGTATTGGAAGCCTCTTCCTAGGATTTAACCAGGAGAAGGAAAATCCCCTTTGTCGCTCTCATCACAGGTCCTATGTCTCCTGTCACACAGTAAAAAAGCCTTCTCCTTTTCTCTGCCTCCCTTCATTATTAACCAGCACCCTTTCTCCTGATTGGAGGATGATTACCTCCAGTCGTAGAACAGGACCTTACATACTACTAGACGTGCAGAATTGAAAAAAATAGTTTTGTTTTGTTTCTTATGGATTAATTTAATTTAAATTTTGTTTTCTTGCATGCATTAAATTTGGATGATTCGTTTTCGCAATTTGTTTCCTTCAGTTTTGTTTATTCATTTTTAAATGCATTCGAATTTCCAGAAGTATTCAAATTCAAATTATATCAGAAATATGGAATCGATTTGAATTCAAATTGAATATCCAAAATTTAATTAGGTACTACTTGTTTATATACTGTTTACATACTTGGGATTTTATCAGTTGAAAAGAAGTTTTCACAACATGAAAGCCTCCGTTATGGATTCCACAGAACATGTTACATGAAATTATAGGTAAGTTATCATGATTATCACAATACAAGAACTACAAGAGTATCAACATATGCTGGACCCCAAACACCTTGATGCTATTCATGAAATACCAATAAATAAACTAACATGGAACATGCGTGATTGAAGATACTATCTTATTTGCATAGGTTAAGACACACAGGCATAACAATTTTGTTGAGTATATTCATTAAAAGCATGTTATGCTTCCACTTGTGCACATCATCCACTGCCGCCAGCATTGGGTTGGGAGGAATCAAGTGACTTGGGTACAACCAGCATGTTGGATTTTTTCATTATTGTCAGTGGCTATAGCCCCTACCAATAATCACTGGGTGTTCTCCCGGCAGGGACGGCTCTCCGCTCCCTGTTTGAATATTTGAACACCCTTTGGCTTTAAAACAATATTAGTTCTTTTAGGTACACTAACACACATTGTCTTTGAAGGAGATCAGCAATGTTTTCAAATTTGATTTGAATTCGGATTTGATTAAAGTCATTAGTATTGTAATTCAGAAATGTGATTACATCTAAATCTCCTAAAAATAAAAATTTTGTCCAAATTTAAATTCAGAATGAAACAAACCCCACTTGTTTACACACTACAGCAGGAGTAAAAGGGTCTAATATTTTGTAGGTACTGCTTACATGCTGAACTACACCTAGTTCCCTAGTGCTGATGGAGTATAGTGAGCCAATTGGCTCAATTCAAATTGAAACCTTGTTCTCTTAGATGCTTTGCTAAACCACAGGCTTGTACTGTGGCAATAAGTACATGTGCATTTGTTGTGTTTGATGTAGCAGGTAGCACAAGGCTCGGCATGTGCAAACCTCTTCTTTGCCGAGAGTTCCATATTTGTGTGCAGACGACTCTTGCATCCTATCAGCAATGATTCAGACTTGTCTAGCACTGTAACACTGTTAGAAACTACAGGTAATAAAACACAATACCTGTAATTCATTTGCAGGATCTTTTTTGGCTTCACAAGTTTGTGACTTCTTGTGTTGGCTTAAAGTGGTATTAAAGCCAAATTTGTATTATATTGCAGGTTAGTAATTCTGCATTTGTGGTGACTGCATTAGTTTCCTTTTTGAAGCTTTCTTCATTCTTATTTGGTGATGTGGCCAGTAAGTCTGTTGTTTTTTAATAGAGCAAGCTTTCTCACAAATGTACCAGTTAAAATGGTTGTAGAGGAACCGCGTTCCAAATTATTATGCAAATTCTATTTAAGTGTCACAAAGATGAAATATTTTGTTTTTCAGTTTAACTCATGGATGGCATTGTGTGTCAGGGCTCTTTTGATCACTGAAAACAATCTCGGACACCTGTGATAATTAGATTGGCAGGAGAGCCCAATTTCAGGAAAAACTACTAAAAAACTACTAAAACTATTAAAAGAGGGTATTCCACATTATTAAGCAGAGCACCATTTTCAAGCAATATGGGGAAGAAAAAGGATCTCTCTGCTGCCGAAAATAGTGAAATAGTTCAATGCCTTGGACGAGGTATGAAAACATTAGATATTTCACGAAAACTTAAGAGTGATCATCGCACTATTAAGAGATATGTGGCTGATTCAGAGAACAGACGGGTTCGTGCAGGTAAAGGCACATTGAGGAAGATTTCTGCCAGATCCATGCATCGGATCAAGAGAGCAGCTGCTAAAATACCATTACATAGCAGCAAACAGATATTTGAAGCTGCTGGTGCCTCTGGAGTCCCACGGACATCAAGGTGTAGAGTCCTCCAGAGTCTTGCAACTGTGCATAAACCTTCTATTCGGCCACCACTAACCAATGCTCACAAGCAGAAACAGCTGCATTGGGCATGAAGACTAATTTTCAAACAGTCCTGTTCACTGATGAGTGCCGTGCAACCCTGGATGGTCCAGATGGATAGAGTAGTGGATGGTTGGTGGACGGCCACCCTGTTCCAACAAGGCTGCGATGTCAGCAAGGCGGTGGCGGAGTCATGTTTTGGGCAGGAATCATGGGAACAGAGCTGTTCGGCCCCTTTAGGGTCCCCGAAGGTGTAAAGATGACCTCTGCAAAGTATATAGAGTTTATGACTAACCACTTTCTTCCCTGGTACAGAAGGAAGAACTATGCTTTCCTTAATAAAAGCATCTTCATGCATGACAATGCACCATCTCATGCTGCAAATAATAGCTCTGCATCAATGGCTGCTATGGGGATAAAAGGAGAGAAAGTCATGGTGTGGCCTCCATCCTCCCCTGACCTAAATCCTATTGAGAACCTTTGGAGCATCCTCAAGCAAAAGATCTATGAGGGTGGGAGGCAGTTTACATCCAAACAGCAGCTCTGGGAGGCTATTCTGATATCTTGCCAACAAATTCAAGCAGAAACTGTCAAAAAACTCACAAGTTCAATGGATGCAAGACTTGTGAAGCTGCTATCAAATAAGGGGTCCTATGTTACAATGTTAAACCTGTTGACCTGTTAAAATGTTTAAAAAGTTAAAATGTTGTTAAAAGTTTGATTGAAATAGCTTTTGATTTCAGTAAATATGCTGCAAACACAACAAATGACAGTTTTCAGTTCTTTACAACCTATAAAGTGTTTGGAAACTTACTGTGCGTAATAATTTGGAACAGTGCATTGTAAGTGTTTTATGTTTAACAAAAATCCTGTTATCATTAGGAGGTTTGTTCAATAAAATTTTAATTGTACTCTTAATAGTTGATAACATGAGAATTATGCTGACTGTTATTTACATCAATTATTTAGGTAAATGAGAAAAATATAATTTGCATAATAATTTGGAACACGGTATATACTGTACTCACCTCCTCACAGAGCAGCCCTGATCCTCCTCTTCCTGGGTCCCTTCTGGTGCTCTTGTATGTACAGTGTATATATATATATATATATATATATATATATATAAACTCACCGGCCATTTTCTAAGACACACCTGTTCAATTGCTTGGTAACACAAATTGCTAATCAGCCAATCACATGGCAGCAACCCAATGCATTTACGCATATAAACATGGTGACGATGACTTGCTGAAGTTTAAAATGAGCATCAAAATGGGGAAGAAAGGGGATTTAGGTGAATTTGAACCTGGCATGGGCATGGTTGTTGGTGCCAGACGATCTGGTCTGACTATTTCAAAAACTGCTGATGTCAGAGGTCAGAGGAGAATGGGCAGACTGGTTGCTGAGACATTAAGACATGGTAGGGTCAGAGTTTGGTGAAAACAACATGAAAGCACGTTTTATGAACAGTTCAGGCTGGTGGTTGTGGTGTGATGGTGGGTGTGATATTTTCTTGGCACTAGTGAGTGTATATATTGTGTGTGTATGCAGCACACCTTCCCAAACCTGTATCTTCTCCCCAGCCATGATTTCTGGGCCATCCTAACAGGGATTGGCTAGGAAAAGTTACATATTCATAACCAGGGGCAGACTGACAACTCATGGGGCCCCCGGGCAATAGGGGATCATGGGGCCCCTGTGTCCTTGCCCAAACTCAAAAAAGCCTATGAAAAAGGTACCAGGGGCATCTCATGGGGCCCCCTACTGACCTCGGGCCCTCAGGCAGTGCCCGAGTTTCCAAATGGTCAGTCCGCCCCTGTTCATAACCCAGTGGTTATCCCTACTACTCTTTAGGAAAATAAATGATGGGGAATTGGAAAGTCGGCCTTTATTATTAGCAGCTGAGCAATCACAATGGTTAAAGAAGAAATGGAGCATCATCTTCATGCCTTTAGCATTTTAATTTTTTAATTTATTATAGGTATTTATATAGCGCTGAACATTTACGCAGTGCTTTTACACATATATATATTGTACATTCACATCAGTCCCTGCCCTCAAAGAACTTACAAACTAAGTTCCTTAACTAACATCCATACATACACAAGGGCCAATTTAGTCAGGAGCCAATTGTTCTACCAGCATGTCTTTGGAGTGTGGAAGGAAACCAGAGTAAACCCATGCAGGCACAGGGAGAACATGCAAACTCCAGACAGGTAGTGCCATGATTGAGATTCAAAACCGACAACCCTAGTGCTGCAAGATGGAAGCACTAACCATGTAGCCACTGTAATACCCATCTCACCAAAGTCAAACTCTTTTTGTAGGAGATGCATAAAATTTGTGGGGGAGTTCTGTACACAAACAGTGTAAAGGATACCTTCAGATTGTCATACTGTAAGAAAGCGACATCTGATTTCTTTTTTTCTTGGCAATTTCAGAAAGTCATAGCAGCTGCAGATTGAAATGGAATTGATTTTTAACAACATTAAATTATACAATGACTTGTGTAGCAATTGTGTATATTATATCATTTTTTGCAGCAAAAGTCCATTAAACACAATAATGCACCATGTGGATCATTTCGCAGTGAGAAAGTAATGAACATAAACAGGATCATTTTGTCCGGTCAGCAGAGTCCAAATTCAAAGCAACAGAAGCCAAATGGTGCTACTGTTCTCCTTTTATCCTATGTGGGTCCTGTGTGAGCTATAAATGCATAGGGATTTGCAAAAGTGGCCAATATAATACAAGGGCATATGTCATTTCATCTGCACATGGTTTGAATTATTTATATGCATATGCTTTCTTCAAAGAAGAACTCAGTGTTAATCAAATGAGAATATTGTATAATTTTCTCTGGAACTCAAGAGATATAATAATATTGGTGTTACATGGGAATAACTGCTTTGCCAGAAGCTAGAAGCTATGTCACCATAAACACTACAAAAAGTTTCTATCACTTGGTGTATATAACATGGAAAATTCTACAAAATGTTACTATAGAGGTCTACTTATAAATGTTTTTGTAGCACTACCCCTTAGGAGTTGCTGAGTATTTGGGTTCCCCCTATAGTCCTGCACAGCCAGGCAACACATATTTTCAAAAACTTACATCGGGGAATCAGTAACCAGTCCTTAAGCTTGTTTTTTTTTTATTAAAGGGGTTAATTACTTGGATGGGGTAAGGGCAATGGAAATGAAAAACTGAGGGCAACTTCCTGGAACTATTCAGAAGTCTTCATAGCAAAACAGTATTTTTTGAAGTGCTAGCCAGCATCTCCTATAGTACTACCCCAGACCCCAGATAAATCCCCTTCCTTACCCAGCTGTCTGGAGAAATCTCTGAGCAGGGGATCTGGTGTCTGCCAGAAATCAAAGCAGAGCTCTACCCAAACGGGGAAGTTCCACTTTAACCACTTGCCTACCAGGCACTTATACCCCCTTATTTACCAGGCCAATTTTCAGCTTTCACTGCACTGCTGGGCACAGGTGGGTGGCACTGGTGGGCACAGGTGGGTGGGCACAGGTGGGTGGCACTGCTGGGCACAGGTAGGTGGCACTTCTGGGCACAGGTGTGGGACACTGCAGAGTGGCACAGGTGGGTGCACTGCTGGGCACAGGTGGGTGATCTGCTGGGCACAGGTGGGCGGAGCTAGTGGGCGCACTGCTGGGCACAGGTGGGCGGAACTTGCGGGTGCCACTGCTGGGCACCGATCATCAGGGCACTGATCATCAGTGCCCTGATGATCGGTGCCGATCCTCGCTCTGGCAACTGCCGGTTCTCGGCAGTACTTTCCTCACGATCTGACAGCGTGAGGAAAGTGCAGCCGAGAACCGGCACTTGCATTTCCCTCTGATCAGCGTGTCATTGGACACCGCTGATCACGTGGTAAAAGGCCTCTGTGATTGGCCTTTTACCACATCACGTGATCAGCTGTGTCCGTAGGACACAGCGACCACGGAGATCGCCAGGTGTGCGCCCCCTGGGGCGCGCAGGAGAGCGCATTCTGGAAGGACGTCATATGACGTCCACTCAGAACTGGCCGGCCGCAGTGCAGCCGTCATTCGGCTATCTGCGGTCGGCAACAAGTTAAAGACTGGTCCTCCACTACCCATTAAGGACTGGCACCTTTGGAGAATGCGGGGGGGGAGCGGGTACCCAAAATTGACAGGTACCCACTACCACTTCCACTGCGATAGCTTAGGCGAAGTTGTCCTCCCGTCCTCCAGGTCCTAGAAGACTACGGGACCATTCAGAAAGCGCAGCGCTACTCGCACATGTGCAGCGGGCACCCGGCTGTGAAGCCGCATGCTGTAACAAACGGGTGCCCACACAGAAAATGCCAGGACCGAGAACACCAGAAGGCTGGTGAGACGGGCTGTGGGGAGGACACCACAGGATCGAGGGACAGGTGAGTGACTGTTTTTTAAAAGTCAGCAGCTACAGCTTTCCTCCATTCAAGCTCCACTGCCTGTATGTGAGCCCCTCTCCATCTGAGCCCCCTCCCAGGCTCCTGCCTTCTGCCTCACATCCTTTCTGTCTTCTACCCAAACTTTTCTGCTGCTAAGCAGGCTCTCTCACTTTTATCCTGGCCCCTTGCCAAGCCTCCTGTTGGGGATGGCCAAAATACCTCAAAAGTGCCGACCAGCCACTTCTCAGATCCACCCACTGCTTCTAGACCTTTCTCCAAAGTTCTAGAGCAGGGGGAAATTCCAGAGGGCTAATCTGCCTCTCAGCTATAACATGTATAGGCTAGATAACGGGTCTCCAAACTTTTGAAACAAAGGGCCAGTTTACTGTCCTTAAAACTTTAGAGAGGCTGGACTGTGGCCAGTGGGAATAGAAAATGCCGTCTGCTTTATGAGTAGTGGGACCAAAAATTGCATAATTGGTGTCATTGTGAGGAATAGTACCCCCTCATTGGTGCCAGTGGGAGAATTAGTTCCCCATCTGTGGTGTCAGTGGGAACAATAGTGTAGGAATATTGTAATATTGTAACAAATAGTACCCCATTGTTAGTGTCAGTGGGGAGAATAGTGCTCCACCTTTGGTGTTAGTGGAAGGACTAGTGCCTTCCATCAGTTGGAGGAATGGTTCCCCAAGGGCCGGATAAAGGCAAGTAAAGGGCCACATCCAGTCCATAGGCTGCAGTTTGGAGACTCCTGAGTTATTATTATTATTATACAGTATTTATATAGCGCCAACGGTTTGCTCAGCACTGCACATTATTATGGGAGACAGTACACGAGACAGTACAGTAACAATACAATACAATACACGAGGGGTTCCAGGGCCCTGCTCCTTGGAGCTTACAATCTAGGAGGGAGGGGAGAGTGGTACAGGAGGAAATAGCTGTGGGGGATGGAGTGGTGGGAAGTTAGAGTGGTCTGTCTAGAGTGGATTTAGAAGGTCTGTCACTATAAAACCTAAACTAGCCATAGATGAGTTGAAATTCAGCTGGTTCAGCAGGGGCTGGCCAAATTTTGATCCATATGTGGCTGCTCCTGTTCAACAGAAATCAATCTAACAATTGACTTTGGCCAAACAAGCTTGTTGGAAACTCTTTCTCGCCAAAAGGCTGCAACCATTGATTGGTGTTTTCTAACAGCCAAGAGTCCTCGCTGTCAGAGTAAAGTGTCTCGCAGGAAGGATTCTTCCATCCACCTTGACTATGTAGATGGATGAATCTGTGCTTTTTTTCCATGCTCAGCCTGCTGGCTGAATAAAAAATAAAAAGATTCATCAAGGGCCAACGTTACAAAATTTCATAACAGTCAGAGGTCCGTTTATAAATGTTTTCTACCAAAATTCACAAAACTTTTACCTAGGATTCACACAACCTTCTAACGCAGTGGTTCTCAACCTTCCTAATGCCGCGACCCTTTAATACAGTTCCTCATGTTGTGGTGACCCCCAACCATACAATTATTTACCCAGCAATTATAATTCATGAAGTGTCGTTTTACCTCCAATACTGCTGCTTTCAACACAGTAGCTGCTTTCAACACAGTAGCTGCTTTCTACACAGTAGCTGCTTTCTACACAGCAGCTGCTCTTTACACATCAGAAATATGTGTTTTCCGATGGTCTTAGGTGACCCCTGTGAAAGGGTTGTTCGACCCCCAAAGGGGTCGCGACCCACAGGTTGAGAACCACTGTTCTAACGGAATCTCACATTAAGTAAATGTGAATTTTGGAGTAGGTTGTATACATCTTTGGTGAAAAAAAGAAAAGAAATGGTCTGTATATGAATAGACATGCTAAAAGCTGTATCACTATAAACCCAATAAAGTTCCCATCACTTAGGGCCTGCTCACACTGCCTGCACGCTAAACACTCCATTTTAGTGTGCAGGCAGCTGTTAGTTTTGTCTGCAGTGAGGGGATTTGTGATGCGCAATTCAGTGCACCATACAGTTTATAATCATCATACATCCAGTGATTTATGGGTGGGACCTGCTGATTGTCTTAGCAAGTGTCAGTTCAAGAACACAGAGTTCTGTACACAGGAGCAGTAATGTGCCATTTTTTTCTCCCTGCATGCAGGGACAAAAAAACACATCTCTAAGTAAAAGCAAGCACACTTTACACATTGTTAGGCACACAGTTACCCTTCTATTGTCCCTAGATGTTAACCCCTTCCCAGCCAGTGTCATTAGTACAGTGACAGTGTATAGCACTAGCACTGATCACTGTATTAGTGTCACAGAAGATGTCAGTGTCAATTACTCAATTCCCACCTAGTGTCAGTTAGTGTCAGATTGCTCGCCACACTATCACAGTCCCACTATGAGTTGCTGATCACCACCATTACTAGTATTTAAAAAAAGTAAATAAATAACAGCTTTAGTATATATTCACCACAGTTTGTAGACGCAATAACTTTCACACAGACCAATCAATATACAATTATTGTTTTTTTTCTATTTGTCAAAGACAAAGAAATTTGATTTAAAAAAAAATGTATTGGATATGTTTTATAGTAACAAAAATATTGTTTTTTTTAAATTTTCAGTATTTTTTTCATTTATATAATGAAAAATAAAAAATCCAGTGAAAAAAGAAAGCTATAAGTGTGGGAAAAAAATTATGTAAATGTATTAGCATACAGTGTTGCATGACAGCGCAATCGCCAGTTAAGGTGGTGCAGTGCTGAATAGCAAAACAAATACCCTGGTCATGAAAGGGGTAAAATCTTCCAGATATTAAGTGTCAGGGGCGGACTGACAACTCATGGGGTCCCCGGGCAATAGGGGATCATGGGGCCCCTGTGTCCTTGCCCAAACTCAAAAAAGCCTATCAAAAAGGTACCAGGGGCATCTTTTGGGGTCCCCTACTAACCCAGGGCCCTCAGGCGGTGCCCGAGTTTCCAAATGGTCAGTCCACCCCTGGGCAGAGACCCTCCATATCAAGGCACCTCTACTCTAGTCTTAACTACAAGTTACAGTCAGGTCCATAAATATTGGGACATCGACACAATTCTAAACATTTTTGGCTCTATACACCACCACAATGGATTTGAAATGAAACGAACAAGATGTGCTTTAACTGCAGACTGTCAGCTTTAATTTGAGGGTATTTACATCCAAATCAGGTGAACGGTGTAGGAATTACAACAGTTTGCATATGTGCCTCCCACTTATTATGGGACCAAAAGTAATGGGACAATTGGCTTCTCAGCCGTTCCATGGCCAGGTGTGTTATTTCCTCATTATCCCAATTACAATGAGCAGATAAAAGGTCCAGAGTTCATTTCAAGTGTGCTATTTGCATTTGTAATCTGTTGCTGTCAACTCTCAAGATGAGATCCAAAGAGCTGTCACTATCAGTGAAGCAAGCCATCATTAGGCTGAAAAACAAAACAAACCCATCAGAGAGATAGCAAAAACATTAGGCGTGGCCAAAACAACTGTTTGGAACATTCTTAAAAAGAAGGAACGCACCGGTGAGCTCAGCAACACCAAAAGACCCGGAAGACCACGGAAAACAACTGTGGTGGATGACCGAAGAATTCTTTCCCTGGTGAAGAAAACACCCTTCACAACAGTTGGCCAGGTCAAGAACCTCTCCAGGAGGTAGGTGTATGGTGTCAAAGTCAATAATCAAGAGAAGACTTCACCAGAGTGAATACAGAGGTTCACCACAAGATGTAAACCATTGGTGAGCCTCAAAAACAAAGGCCAATTAGAGTTTGCAAACGACATCTAAAAAAGCTTCACAGTTCTGGAAAACATCCTATGGACAGATGAGACCAAGATCAACTGTACCAGAGTGATGGGAAGAGAAGAGTATGGAGAAGGAAAGGAATTGCTCATGATCCTAAGCATACCACTCATCAGTGAAGCATGGGAATGGTATTGTCATGATGTGATGGCTGCCAATGGAACTGGTTCTCTTGTATTTATTGATGATGTGACTGCTGACAAAAGCAGCAGGATGAATTCTGAAGTGTTTCGGGAATATTATCTGCTCATATTCAGCCAAATGCTTCACAACTCATTGGATGCCTCTTCACAGTGCAGATGGACAATGACCCAAAGCATACTGCAAAAGCAACCAAAGAGTTTTTTAAGGGAAAGAAGTGGAATGTTATGCAATGGCCAAGTCAATCACCTGACCTGAATCCGATTGAGCATGCATTTCACTTGCTGAAGACAAAACTGAAGGGAAAATGCCCCAAGAACAAGCAGGAACTGAAGACAGTTGCAGTGAGAGGCCCTGACAGAGCATCACCAGGGATAAAACCCAGCGTCTGGTGATGTCTATGCGTTCCAGACTTCAGGCTCTAATTGACTGCAAAGGATTTGCAACCAAGTATTAAAAAGTAAAAGTTTGATTTATGATTATTATTCTGTCCCATTACTTTTGGTTCCTTAATAAGTGGGAGGCACATATGCAAACTGTTGTAATTCCTACACCGTTCACCTGATTTGGATTGTAAATACCCTCAAATTAAAGCTGACAGTCTGCAGTTAAAGCACATCTTGTTTGTTTCATTTCAAATCCATTGTGGTGGTGTATAGAGCCAAAAATGTTAGAATTGTGTCGATGTCCCAATATTTATGGACCTGACTGTAAGGTAGTGCAGTCCTGAATAGCAAAACAAATGCCGTGGTCGTGAAGGGGGTAACATCCTCCGGATATTAAGTGGTTAATATAATATTAGAATAAAAACAGAGGTCCATTTGAAAACAAATGTGAGGGCAGAGACAGGGGCGGACTGACAACTCATGGGGCCCCCCGGGCAATAGGGGATCATGGGGCCCCTGTGTCCTTGCCCAAACTCAAAAAAGCCTATCAAAAAGGTACCAGGGGCATCTTATGGGGCCCCCTACTAACCCAGGGCCCTCGGCGGTGCCCAAGTTTCCAAATGGTCAGTCGCCCCTGGGCAGAGACCCTCCATATCAAGGCACCTCTACTCTAGTCTTAACTACAAGTTAAGGTAGTGCAGTCCTGAATAGCAAAACAAATGCTGTGGTCGTGAAGGGGATAACATCCTGTGGATATTAAGTGGTTAATATAATATTAGAGTAAAAACAGAGGGCCATTTGCAAACAAATGTGAGGGCAGAGACCCTCCATATCAAGGCACCTCTACTCTAGTCTACTCTAGTCTATGGAATCACTCCAAACTCTGAATTTTCATCAGATAATCATACCGTTAACTAAACTAATTGGGCATATTTATCAGCAGTTCAAATTTTTGGAAACACATTTACCTCTTATAGGAATTTACTACTATTTCTATGACTTTTCTAAACACATGCACTCTCATTCCTTAATTTCTTGTAGGGTCAAGGAGTTTCTTGGTGAATTCTAGCATCCTCATAATTTACAGTGAGTTATACATTATTCCAATTATGCATTTTTCCCTTCAAGGAAAATACATATGCTCTACTGTCAGCAGAAATGTCTAACATAGACCATAACGTGATAAAATAATACAGAGAAAAATGTAAAGGTTTTGTACACCTTTCTCTTTCATCAGAAGGTCACAGCCCGTGCAGGTGAGTTTGGCATGTTAATTAACACAGTTATGAAACATATCATCTCCAAGCGTAGAAGCTGGCCTGGAAACATCTGCTTGTTGTCAAGTCTGGATGACAAGGAAGCATTTTCCAATTACACAAAGGAGTTATAGATGACTGGAATGAAAGTTTGGAATCAAACCAAAGGGCTTGTAGGACCTTATTATAGTAAAGCTGTAATGTGATATCACACGTGATATGACAAGGTTTCATTATGTTTACATAATGCACAGCTATTAGTTTATTACTCTGGACTGTAGAGGAGGAATGGGGCTGTGTTGAATCAGATGCATTCATTGCAGGCTTAACAATGTTCTGATCGGGTTATTAAGTTTCTTGTAATTACAATTTAAAAATTACCGTGCTCCGACAAATATGGAAGGCAGGGGCAGACTGACCATTTGGAAACTCGGGCACTGCCCAAGGGTCCGGGGTCAGTAGGGGGCCCCATGAGATGCCCCTGGTATCTTTTTCATAGGCTTTTTTGAGTTTGGGCAAGGACACAGGGGATCCATGATCCGCTATTGCCCGGGGGCCCCATGAGTTGTCAGTCCGCCCCTAATGGAAGGTCAACCTATTTCAATTTTTTTCAATATGTTTTTTACAGATTTATCCTAATCAACTTAGACCACTTCTTTGATAAAAAGCTGGAATTTTTGGGGTCTTCATAGCTGTTAAAAATTACAAAAGTTTTATGTTACTTTCACACTAGATGAATGATAGTTTTCCAGCCCACAAGACAGGATTGAGCAGCTTACAGCTGAAATAGTTCTCATCATCATGAATGATCTTCTGCTACAGCATAATCTGTAGCATTTTTGATATACATTAACAGCTTGTGGACTTTGGATGTGCTATATGACGTCATCGGGTTGCACGTGTGTGTCTGCTACGCATGCACAGTGAGACTTAACGTGTTACTAAACCCACAATAGTAAAATCAGTCTGTATATGCATTAAAGCATGCTTGTTATATTCACTGTGGAACCTAAGGGGTCACTCCTCTGCATTGTGTAAAAACGCTGTTTGATCCTGATCCTCCCCTTTCTCCAGTGCCCCCTCTTATCTCCAGATATCGTGTTTAATCCCTTTCCAGTGAGTGTCAGTAGTACATTGACAGTGTATATTTTTAGCACTGATCACTGTATTGTTGTTACTGGTTCCCACAAAGTGTCAGTTAGTGTCAGATTTCCCCGCCATACTATTGCCATCCTGCTATAAGCTGCTGATTTTACCCCCTTCATGACCAGGCCATTTTTTTTCTGTTTAGCACTGTGCTACTTTAACTGGTAATTGCGTAGTCATGCAACGCTCTACCCAAACAAAATTTATACTATTTTTTTCACACAAATAGAGCTGTCGTTTCTTGGTAATTGGTCACCACTGGGTTTTTTTTTTGCAATATAAAAAGACTGAAAATTTTGGAAAAAAAGATATTTGTTATTTTCTGCTACAAAACATATCCAATGAAAAAAAAAAAATAAAAAATCACATTTCTTCATAAATCTTGGACAAATTGTATAAAATACCAATAAGTGTATATTGATTGCCTTATGTGAAAGTTAAGCATCTACAAACTATGGTTTATATACTGGAATTTATACTACTAATGGCGGTGATCAGTGACTTATAGTGGGCCTGCGATAGTGTGGCGGACAAACTGACGCTAACTGATGCTGGGTAGAACTGCCTACCTGGCACTGACATTACCAGTGACATTAATACAGTGATCAGTGATGATACTGTACACTGTACTAATGACATTGGCTGAGAAGGGGTTAACATCAAGGGCAATCAAGGGGTTAAATGTCTACCCAACTATGTGTAACATGTGCTACTTTTTACTAATGATCTCTTAGTTTCTTGTCCCTGCTTTGCAGGGATGAGAAACAGAGAGATCGTTCCCTGTGTACAGAGCCCTGATTGTCAACACAGAGCTCCGGGTTAAGATTGTACACAGCCGATCAGCAGGTTCTGGCCGTGAATCATTGGCTGGGACTTGTTGACAGTCCCCCGCTGTGATTCTGCAAAGGAGGGTCAACCACTTATTAAGTCCAAAGGTTCACATACTTTTTCCTCCCTGCACTGTGAATGTTTACATGTTATGTGCAATTAAACCATGGCAACATCTAATGTTTGTGTAGTATTATGTTCAGCAGACTGTGTTCTATTGTTGTGACTGAGACGTTCAAAGGAGCATTTTATGCCCAATTCATGCAAAACTCCACGTAATCCCAAGGGGTTCACATACTTTTTTTGCAACTGTATATGTGTAATTAGCTGTTAAGCTTTATGTGTTGTACAGGTCTAAGCCTAACTATACTCTCAATGCTGAATCTAAGCAGTATTTGATCAATAAATTACTGGAGTTACAAAGAAAATAACCCCTTGAGGAAAAATCTTTGTCTGTAGAAAAAATACAGTATTGAAAATATGGTACAGCAAAATTACAAAAAAGTGTCATACCTAAAAAAAAATTCAATGATAAGTCATAATACAAACTTCCTGATAACAAACTATACTTTCTCTTTTTAACTTTACTAGCCATTGGATAGAACACAAATTGAACGAATATTCAGTGTACACGATTCCAAAAAGCATGCTGCAACTGCAAACAAGCATTGTTGACCCTGAAATGGCATCTCATTTAGTCATACTGTAGGTGGAATTCAAAGCAGAATTTAATTACTGGCTGTCAATGTGATTCTTGATGGTTCATTTCCCTCCCACAGAGAATAAAACTAGGAACTGTATATTACATATGGGATCTTCCTTTGTGCACTTTTTTCCTGTCTCCTTGTTAACTTGCAAATAATGAATTACGTTTTAATTAAAAAAAAAAAAAAAAAATCTAAAAGGAAGAAAATGATTTCAGCGGTTTATTTCCATAAATTGAAGCAAAGTGGTAGAGACAATAACATCGTAATTTAACATTTCAATTTCCTATTTTTAAGGACTGTTTTTTCGTCAATTATTTAACAGGATTCCATAATTAGTAATGGAAGAAACTTATTCAGAGAGGAACAAGTAGCAAGAGCACAACTGACAAAAGTGCTTGTAGAGCTATCCAATTATTTTTCTTTTGTTAATATTATTATTATTATGTTTTATATGTTTTAGGGCCTAAAAAATAAGAATATTTTATTATATGGAAAAACAAATAACTGCGCTTGAATATAAAAAACAACAAAAAAAGAATAAATAAATATAAACAAAAAGCATCTGCATCTGCATCTGCAAAGGCAATATCACAAATTATAAACTGAAAAATTGCAGCGCTAGTTAGAAAATGATAGTCCAAATTAAAGTCTTTAAAAGTCCTCAAAGAAATCAGACAAGATGAAGGAGAATGGTCTTGATCTTATACACCATCACCATACACCCAGAAAAAATTGGCCCTTTACCGGACACTTTGACCGTATACAGCAGTCGGTATATGCAGTGTAATGAGAAATAGATGTGGCAAATACTTCCCAATGAGTATCGTCTCCCAGTTAAGGATAATGATTCCACTAAGAAAAATCCCCAATAGCACTGGTCCGTAAGCACCATATAGTAGGGACTCAGAATGGCAGGCGATCCACAAAGGAAATCCTCTTGAACATATAGGAAGAACTGTCCGTTTTATACTCATTAAACTTCCAAGAATCTCCCATCCGGCAATCACTGCTGCCACTTCCACCAATTCTATTATACGAACAAAGAAAAGCTAAAAGGAAACACTCAGTATTTTAATAATTGAAAGGTTTGGCTGCACACCACTGTAGAGCTGTCTATACCATTTATTCCAGCACCACTCCAGAAAAGTTATGAATAAATATAATTATGTGTGAAACGCGTTGATAAGCAGCTACTCTGTGTATTATATTGGTGTGCTGTCCTTATCTAGAGCGCTGATGGAATAAATGATTTTAGCAGCTCTACAGTGGTGTGGGGTTGAGCCTTTCAATTTTTGTGGTGTGTAGTGGTGGCGAGCACCCACATGGAGACTAAATGAGGTGGGTGGTTTCTTCACCTGAAGCAAGGCACTGTTTTTCTTTCATTAGATTCAGTATTTTTAGTTGAGCTTTCATCATTCACAAGAAACTCATTTTTACATTCTTGAATGATGCAGGGAGGAGATTTATGTCCGCTCCTATCCACTGCCCCTCACGACTGATCAGTGAATTTGCCACAAATGTGGAGTGAGAGGTGTTTTTTAAATGACATGTTATACTTATCTGTGCAACAGAATCACAAAAGAGTGGCTTTGAACCTCCTCTTCTGAGGCTCTCAGCTGGCACTCTTGGCTTCTTCTCTTCAGTGTCTGCCACTGTGGTCAGACACTGTCAGTCAGGGGAACATCCAAACTGAGAGATGTGGACCTACAATACAGAAGTGCTCATCGTGAAGTGACCAGAGGTGCTTGTCATTTCCAGGATGATCTTTTGGGCCTTAGTCACAGGATCTGGTGAGAAGGATTTTGCCCACTGGCAGATGACAGGAACATTGCACACAGACAGAGACATTACACTTTGCCCATACTCACCAGGCACTGGGTTGTGTAGATGGCCCATCTAAACAGACACAGTATTTGCTATGCTATGCAAACACTGCCATGGGATTACATTTATACTTTACCATAGGAGTTTAATTGCACCAACGAAAGTGGCTAGCTGAAGATCCCAAGATTCATCGTGTTACCAAGAGACTGAAGTTACTGGTGCCATACGGGCACGCGCATGCGTATTCAGGCCTCTATATTGCATAGTGTGTGAGGGAATAGCTTTACCTTGGAAAGTAGCTATTAAGCATCAGTTGGGTACAGTGTTGGTACAGTGTTTACCTACTGGGCTTGTGGTGTCAGGGGTTAGAAAGGAGAAGTCTGACACAACAGAGAGTCATTCTTCTGCTCTCCTCCTGCTTAGACATCATAGAGCCAAATATATGTAAAGGGGTTTAGACCCACTTTGAGGTTGCCATTTAAGTGTTTGCCTCTGCTCTTGGGGTTATTCATGGTTGGAATCCCCTGAAAGCAGCCTGAGTGTAAAAGTGAGTTATATTGCTTTCGGTCACAGTATTTGCTGTTCTCTTGATTCACCTAACGTATACCTGTTGTTAATGTTTATTACTTCCCATCAGGGGCGGACTGAAACATTTGGAAACTCGGGCACTGCCCGAGGGCCCGGGGTCAGTAGGGGGCCCCATGAGATGCCCCTGGTACCCTTTTCATAGGCTTTTTTGAGTTTGGGCAAGGACACAGGGGCCCTTTGATCTCCTATTGCCCGGGGGCCCCATGAGTTGTCAGTCTGCCCCTGCTTCCCATAGAGGTCTTACAGTAAAGTTGATCTCCGTGTTTTATTATAAAGTGTGTGCTTTTCATTGGTCCTTACACTTACACTATTGCCAGGTGTGTCAGTTGGGGCTGAGACAGTTCTTGGGGTTGAGAGTAGGCAGAGTGGCGGAGTGAACAAACTTAAGCAGCCCCTTCAGAGGTATCATACAGTACCTTTGGAGATTATCTTTTATTTTTTCATTGTAATGATACCTGATGGAGAGGAGTAAGGAGATTTATGAAGGATATAAAGTATTAGGAAGATTGAAGCACTGAAATTGATATTCACATTATTTTGATGGACTTTATGCACTTACAGAAATGGATGGACTTATGTCATGAATTATGTTTTATAATCAGCAGTTTTGTTTTACTGTTTCTAGCACTATTGTGGAAAGAGTTTACTCACAGCGACACTGTATAAGCTGATTTTCATATTAATAGTTATTTTATTTAAGATGGCAGCAGTGATTGATATTTGCTTATCACCATTAATTATCACAAAAGGGTGGCAATATTTAATTTATATACATTTTAATTTGAGCACGCATCTAGCGCAGGAGTTTTTTTTATTGATTATTTCAGGACTTAAGGAAAGGATGGAGTCCAACTTTAAAAAGACATCAAAGTATCTGGTCTAAACGTCTTATTATAGAACAGGGGTACAGGAGTTAAAATTCATGGGGGTGCGGTCAGTAAAATTTTCTTCCAGCGGAGGTCCAAGTGTCATGTTGGTGCTATGACTCAGATCCTTCACATCACAGCCTCCCATGCACATAACAATTCCTCCCCCCACCCCGAACCCCCCCTTTTACATCACAGACCGCCCCATTACAAATTGCCACATCACAGACCACCTCATCACTGATTGCCCCATCACAGACCCCCTTGCTTGACATCCCATCACAGATCCCCCAATCACCAATTTCTTCATCATAGACTGTCCCATCACAGACCCCCCCAATAAAATACCCCCCATCATAGATCCCCCAATCCCAGACCCTGCTCATGACAGACCCCCTCATCACAGATCCCCTCCATCACAGACCCCTCATCATCACAGACCCCTCATCACAGATCCCCCTCCATCACAGATCCCCTCCATCACAGACCTCCCCATTACAGATCCCTCATCATAGACCCCCATCACAGACCCCCCATCACATATCCCCCATCACAGACCCCCCATCACATATCCCTCATCACAGACCCCCCCATCACAGATCCCTCATCACAGATCCCATTCATGACAGGCCCCTCTCATCACAGATCCCGTCCATCACTGACCCCTCAACACAGACTCCCCCATCACAGACCCCCCATCACAGTTCCCCAATCACAGATCCCCCCTCATCACAGATCACCCCATTACAGTCCTCCCTGCATATTACAGATTCCTGTTCCTTTCATAACATCGCAGCACTCCCCTCTTCCTCCTCCCCTCCTCACACTGTCCTATCTTATTCACACAAGATGGAAAGCACAGCAGGTCCAGACATAGGTTGGAACTGTTCATGTTAAAGGTGGATGAATGATTACTTGAACTGCCCCGCTGCTTAGCAACCAATCAACCCACAACCAATCATTCACTTCCTAACATGAAAAGTCCCGCCCTATGTCCAAGACCTGCTGTTCTTCCTGTCTTGTGTGAATAAGGTAGGACAGTCCAAGCCATTACTTTCAGGACTCCTTGTTTTTCTATACACTGAGAATAGTTCTTAATGACATTGGCTGTATGTTTGGGGCTGGTGTCCTGCTCAGGGGCGGACTGACCATTTGGAAACACGGGCACTGCTCGAGGGCCCGGGGTCAGTAGGGGGCCCCATGAGATGCCCCTGGTACCTTTTTCATAGGCTTTTTTGAGTTTGGGCAAGGACACAGGGGCCTCATGAGTTGTCAGTCCGCCCTGGTCCTGCTGCATAATAAATTTGGGGCCAATCACACGCCTTCCTGATGACATGGAAAGTAGGAAAAGTATCTCCCTGTATTTCTCAGCATTGAGGACACCATTGATCTTGATCAAATCTCCAACATTTTTTTGCTGAAATGCAGCCCCATAGTTGCAAGGAACCTCCGCCATGCTTCACTGTTGCTTGCAGACACTCATTATTGTACAGGTCTTCAGCCTTCACGAAACAATACCGCCTCCTGCTACTGCCAAATAATTCAAATTTTGATTCATCAGTCCAGTGCACCTGTTGTCATTTTTCTGTACGTATGCATAGTTGAGTCACTTAGCCTAGTTTTCACATCTGAGGTATGGCTTTTGGTTTCAATTCTTCCATAATGACCACTTCTGGCCAGATTTCTCTGGGGGTACCTGGGTCCCACTGGTTTCCACCAGTCCTGTTCTGATGGCACTGCTGGACATCTTTGGAAGTTGGATGTTTTCAAAATGCATGTTTTGGTTATGCATGTACCTAAATGTCCTACTAAGGCTAATTTAACCCCAATATTAACATATCTACAGTATATTATTGGACTATATCTTACTTTATGAAAGTTCTGCTGCTCCATTCTAACAGTCTCATGCCAAAAAGTGCCTGCGCACTTAGCAAGGCCTAAAGTAAATGAACCAAGAATCTGACACATTATGCTATTCACTGATGATAAATAGCATGAAAGAGCCCCGGATACAAGCACGAGAATATTTATAATATGTCTTTAAAGTCCTTGTACTTAATGCAATGTCCAAGTAAATATTGCACTTTAGAGATCCTATTAACAAACTGTATAACTATTAAAAGCTGGAGAATATTATGAGCCATCCACTCTGCGGATCTGTGTGCCAGCCATTAAGGCAAGTCATCCAGGAATGTGCCCTTCAGTGTAATACTTACTTTAAATTATGGTGCTTTTAAGCTCAATTTTTGCCAAGGGATTCTGTTAATTAACAGTAGCTCACTTTTATTAGGTTTAATTTTTCCTTAAAATTTTTAACCTGTGTTTTTTTTTCACTAAAATGGTCCAGATAGAGGAGATTCTTGGCATGTTACATAATTTAATTTTTAACTGCAGAAGTACTTGAAGCTTACATAGATAGTTTTATACTCATTATGGACTATTCTTAAAGTGAAACTCTGCTGAGGTAAAGACTCTCCAGTCCAACTATAACAATTGCAAACATTAATACAACTCCTAAAGACTTTAGCTGCATTTTCTTTGTTACTATTAATGCAAGGTCTTGCCAATGCTAAAGTGTCAATTTATAAGTTTGTCATATGGCCGTATAAATTGGCCTTTTACACATTATAAATTGGTCCTTAATTTGCTTCAGAACTCCCAATAAAGTAAAGCCCAGTCATTTTAACCTCCCTGGTATTCCCGAGTGTATCGCGGGGTAAAGTTTCAGTACCACAAGCAGTAACCCCGAGCTACACTCGGGCTTAACATTCAGCGCTGCTCCGGGATCTGTTCTTCTCTTATCTTGTCCTGCGCTCCCGTGATGTCCTTCCTGCAGTGTCCCCTGTAATGTCCTCCGGCGGATGCCGGCATCCGTCTTCCGGGTTCTGTTCCCTGCAACGTTGGGACGTACGGGGGACGAAACGGCAGGAAATTTGAAAATTACAAAAAATGACATTCATTAAATTTACTAAAATCACATAGTAAAACATTACTGTATCAAACCATTTCACATTCATTTTGTCCCGAGTGCTTTGTCCTGTGCCCTGCCTACATTTTTACTGTTCTTTCTGCCTGGAAACTGAGAAATGTCCATGGCATCCAAAAAGCGTCCCTTTAAGTCAAAATCGGTTTTAGACCAGCTAGAGAACAGCGATAGTAAATCAGAACTACTTGCAGAATTGAGTAATAATGATTCGTGGGGATTTCCTCATCAGACACTGAAAACGATTTTGCGACTTTGCTCAGTGATGTGCGAACCTGGCGCTATATTTCAAATTTCAGTGTTTTTGGTTTGATTATATTGTTGAATTAAATGTATTATTATTATATTATTATTTTTTATGATTATTTATTAAATTATAATTTATGATTTTGTGTTTCAAATTTTAACATACTTGGGATGTTTACTAGACTCTTGTTCGGACAGATTTCAGTGAGTTATTCCAAAAAATTACAGGCCTACAATAAAAAAAATACATATTTCCATGCAAAAAAAGTACCGCTTTGAGCACAGAAATATCGACATAATCTGACCGCTAGGGAGGTTAAAGCCCAATTCCAGGAAGATGGAAAAATCCACCCTTTTAGTAGGGTCCCTGCTCACTTAGTATAGAGGGAAAATATTATGAAGAAATAATTACCTTATTCCTCACTCCAGCAGGCTCCCTCCATTGTGACTCGTTCCCTGCATCCGCCTCTGTAAGTTGCAAGCATCTCCGGATGTACTCCAACTTTCTCAGCATACAATACAGGATTAATGTCCCTGTATTGTATGTGATGATGCCAAGGCTCTACCTACAGATCAGAGCTTCAGGTGGAGGAGAAGAGTGCTGGAACCAACTGGAGAGGTTGTGTAAGGTAAATAAAGCTGCTTATACAGTAACTCCTAGGCATACGAGCATTTATGCGCCCTTGCAATGTAGGGAAAGGGCCCAATGCAAGGGTCGATTTTTTATTTTCCTAAAGTTGAGCTTGGAAGAAGAACAGAAATGAAGAAAAACACATTTTTTTCTCAAAATGTATGGTCTTTTTTCGTTTATGTTTTTTTTTTTAAAAAAAACAGTGGTGATTAAATACCACCAAAAGAAAACTCTGTGTGATAAAATTATAAAAATGTAATTTGGGTACTCTAATGAATGAGTTGTACCAACTGTGACAGCGCTGAAAGCTGAAAATTGACCTGGGCAGGAAGTGGGTGAAAATGTCCAGTACTGAAGTAGTTAAACTTTAGTCAGAAAATTAAGTCCTGCTAGATCACTTCAGGTTGGCCTATTTTGCAGGCATAGCTATATAAAACATTACAAATAATTGCCTATACAGTTTAAAATGTAGTAATATGCTGTCTTACCTTGCTCTACAAATGCTCAGTTGCTCTCTATTTTTTGGCACTTTGCTGAAAATCTACAGTAGAAGCTGATCTGCTGACAGTTTAAAGATGTATTGCTACTCAGGGGCTGTGGGCTTCAGAAAAAAGGCAGCCTCTACCACAAAGAAAAAGGAACAATGCTGGAGGGAATTTTAAGCACACACTACTTCTAAAAGCATAATTATTTGTGTGAAAAATGTAGGTTCCTTGCTAAAGAACATTATTTTTTATCAAGTTGTTATTGGAAAAGTTCCATTTGAAGTTAAAATTTTAAAAATGTTAAAAACATCCTGTGATATATAATGTCTATCCCCAATCAGACATTCTACCATGTTTCACAAAATAGCTTTTGCTTCTTCAGGGAATGTTGTTCTAGGTTGTTTCAGGTCATCTTCGCCTCATCCAGTGTCTTTTTCCCTCATGTGGCAGATCACCCACTGTGTTAAATTTGACCTTGTGGGTTACAGAAAGTTGTCGGTCTCGAAATTTTAGAAAAGCAACAGTGCTTGTGTGATGAATATATATATATATATATATATATATATATATAATATAAACACTATACTGCCAAAAGTATTGGAACACTCCTCCAAATCATTGGATTCAGGTGTTCCAATCACCTCCATGACCGGGGTGTATAAAATCAAGCACCTAGGCATGCAGACTGCTTTTGCAAACATTTATGAAAGAATAGGTCACTCTCAGGAGCTCTGTGAATTCAAGGTACCATGATAGGTTGCCACCTGTGCAATAAGTCCATCCGCAGGGGCGGACTGACCATTCAAGCACTCGGGCACTGCCCGAGGGCCCGGGGTCAGTAGAGGGCCCCATGAGATGCTTTTTCATAGGCTTTTTTGGGTGTGGGTGAGGACACAGGGGCCCCATGATCCCCTATTGCCTGGGGGCCCCATGAGTTGTCAGTCCGCCCCTGTCCATCCGTCAAATTTCCTTGTTACTAAATATTCCACAGTCAACTGTTAGTGGTATTATAACAAAATGGAAGCAGCTTAGCCACGAAAGTGGTAGGCCACAGAAAATGACAGAGCTGGGTCAGCATATGCTGAAGCATACAGTGCGTAGAAATCGTCAACTGTCTGCAGAGTCAATAGCTAAAGACCTCCAAACTTCATGTGGCCTTCAGATGAGCACAGCAACAGTGCATAGAGAGCTTCATGGAATGAGTTTCCATGGCCGAGCAGCTGCATCCAAGCCTTACATCACCAGGAGCAATGCAGTGGTGTAAAGCACAACACCACTGGACTATAGAGCAGTGGAGATGTGCTCTCTGGAGTCAAAAATCACGCTTCTCTTTCTGACAATGCAATGGACGTGTCTGGATTTGGTGGTTACTAGGAGAACCGTACTTACCTGACTGCATTGCACCAAGTATAAAGTTTGGTGGAAGGAGGATTATGGTGTGGGGTTGTTTTTCAGGGGTTGGGTCTGGTCCTTAGTTCCAGTGAAGGGAACTCTTAAGGCATCAGCATACCAAGACATTTTGGACAATTTCATGCTCCCAACTTTGTGGGAACAGTTTGGGGATGACCCCTTCCTGTTCCAACATGGCTGCACACCAGTGCACAAAGCAAGGTCCATAAAGACATGGATGAGCAAGTTTGGGGTGGAGGAACTTGACTGGCCTGCACAGAGTCCTGACCTCAAACCCGATAGAACACATTTGGGATGAATTAGAGTGGAGACTGCGAGCAAAATCCTCTCTTGTATTAAAAGAGGTATAGACTCCAGAGAGAGCGATATCATTTTACCCCGGTACAAATCATTAGTAAGACCTCATATGGAAGTTCAGTTTTGGGCATCAGTTCACAAAATGAACATTGGGGAACTGGAGAAAGTACAGAGAAGGGCAACTAAACTGATAAGAGGCATGGAGAAGCTCAGCTATGAGGAAAGATTAGAGGATCTGAATGTATGCTCTCTTGAGAGGAGGAGATTAAGAGGGGATATGATCAACATGTATAAACACATCAGTAGTTCATATAGTGAACTCAGTGTAGAGTTATTCACCCGGAGGTCATCACAGAGGACAAGGGGCACTCTTTACGTCTGGAGGAAAAGAAATGTAATCTCCAAACATGAAAAGGTTTCTTTACAGTGAGAGCTGTGAAAATGTGGAATAGACTCCCTCAAGAGTTGGTTCTGGCAGGCTCCGTGGATTGCTTTAAAAAAGGCCTGGAGTCTTTCTTGGATACACAGAATATAAATGGATACTAACATTAATAGGTAAAGTTGATCCAGGGAATATCCGAATGCCTCTCAGGGGAGCAGGAAGGATTTTTTTTTCCCTGCAGGAGCAAATTGGTTCATGCTTTGCTGGGTTTTTATGCCTTCCTCTGGATTGACTGTGGGTGTAGGATTATAATTTTGTTTTTTTTTAATGGTTGAACTGGATGGACTTTTGTCTTTTTTCAGCCAGACTAATTATGTAACTGGGAGCCAGACCTTCTTGTCCAACATTAGTGCCTGACCTCACAAATGCGCTTCTGGAAGAATGGTCAAACATTCCCATAGACACACTCCTAAACCTTGTGGACAGCCTTCCCAGAACAGTTGAATCTGTTATAGCTGCAAAGGTCGAGCCAACTCAATACTGAACCCTACAGACTAAGACGGACCATTCCGTCAGACTAAGACTGGGTTGCCATTAACCTCCCTAGCGGTAGTCCCGAGTGCAGCTCGGGGTTAACTTTTAGTACCAAAAGTGGTCCCCAAGCTACACTTGGGATTACCCTGCAGCGTTGCTCTGAGATTCCTCTTGCATTTACCTTGTCCTTTGCTCCCGCGATGTACCCCTGTAGCGTCCCCGGCCATCTCCTCCAGTCGATGACGACATCCATCTTCCAAGTTCAGGTCCCTGCGAGCGTCAGGACGTACGGGACGTATGGGGGACGGAACCGGCGGGAAATTTAAAAATGATAAAAAGTGACGTTCACTAAATACACTAAAATCACATAGTATAACATTATTGTATCATACATTTTGTCCCAAGTGCTTTGTCCTGTGCCCTGCCTGCATTTTTACTGTTCTTTCTGCCTTGAAACTGAGAAACGTCCATGGTGTCCAAAAAGCGGCCCTTTAGGTCAAAAGCAGTTTTAGACCAGCTAAAAAACAGCGATAGTAAATTAGAACTACTTGCAGAATTGAGTGATAATGATTCGTGGGGAAATTCGTCATCAGACACTGAAAATGATTTTGCGACTTTGCTCAGTGATGTGCGAACTTGGCGCTCTATTTCAAATTTCAGTGTTTTTGGTTTGATTATATTATTGAATTACATTTATTATTATTATATTATTATTTTTTATGATTATTTATTATATTATAATTTAGGACTTCGTGTTTCAAGTTTTATCATACCCGGGATGTTTACTAGCCTCTTGTTCGGACAGATTTCAGTGAGTTATTCCTAAGAATTACAGGCCTACAATAAAAAAAAAACGACATATTTCCATGCAAAAAAATGTACCGCTTTGAGCACATAAATATTGACATAATCAGACCGCTAGGGAGGTTAAAGTTCATGTGCGTGTAAAGGCAGGCGTCCCAATTCTTTTGGCAATATAGTGTGTGTGTGTGTGTATATATATATATATATTTTTATATATATATATATATATATATCCCACATAGTAGGTATGACTACATTCTGAAATGTAGAGTCAGAGAATTTTATCAGAATACTACAAAACCATATACATTTTGCTCAAGTTTTGGCTTTGTCCTTATTCCGATGTCAGTGAATTCCATGTACATTTCACAGTGCTGTGACATATTTTAGCACTTTGTTCTTTCAGGTCATAACTTAGCGCTGTATCTTATTTTAGTATAAATTAGGCTGTAATATGTTTTCTGTAGGTTTGCCGGGGAGCTTTCAGTGCGTGCCGCAGTATATGAGAGAGCTGATAAGAAAACAGGAGAGAAACTTAAATGTTTTGTGTCTAGCTTTAAACATTACCTTGATGTTTTTCTTATGGCTTCCTAACTACCATAGGTGCCGCTAAGTTTTTCTAGCCCTTTGAGGACCATAAGATTACGGAAGAAGTCAAAGAATCAATTTTTTGTTTTTAAAGTTCGTACACTTCAGTTGCTGTAACTAAGCCATTTCATGAAATAATTGGCAAAAAGCTAGATCCATTTGTTGATAAGAACTAATATTTTGACTCAAAAACCAAAAAAAAAATAAAAGTATTTTAAGTTCTTAATCAGATGATACAGGCAATTAAAAACATGGGACAAATACGTCCCTTGGTCCTCAAAGGGCTAGCAGGTTACTTATTCTAGAATTCTAAATGCAAGGAGACAGGCTTTTACGGAGAATGACTGCAATGGTTCAAATTTCTGAAGAAAAACTAAAACAGGGTTCTGATCTTTGTGTGTGTCATAAAATGTGCATCTTACTATGCTTTACTGCATCACACAGTACCACATGAAACACGATGCAGTGGCATTCAATTTCAATGGCAACCCAACACATCTAGCCAGCACAATGCAATCCATGTGCATATTATACGTATGGATGTGAACCACCAGAAAATTGTGAGAGCAGTACTTATATTTTGCAGGTGAATTATAACTTGTGTCATTGTGAGAATTCATTGTGAATGAATTAACTGCCCTTTTTGCAAATATTTTTTTCAAAACCACCAGTTTTCTACCAGGATATTATGAAGAAGTCTTACATATTCTGTGTTGCCGCTTTCAGTATATCTACTTTTCTAGGTCTTTTGGTCTGTGGGAATGAAAGACACAATGATCTTCAGTAGGGATGGACCGATACCGGCATTGGTATCGCTGCCGATACCGAGTACTTGCACATGCTCTCAATACCCGAAATCAATACCTTTGTTGTGTGTTTGTGGTTCTCACAAAGCTGGAGATGCATAGGCAGTCCACCCCCAAGCTGATATTACGTCCACCCTATTCCTGTGGGTATACCTGTAAGAATAGGGTGGAATTGATGTCAGCTTTGGGGCAGACCACCTATGTATCTCCTCTAGCCTTGTGAGCACCACAAGCACCAATGCATTCCATACCTGATCAGGTAATCCCTTGCTAACACAGAAGGGGGCCTCTGATCACTGGGAACATTAAAACAGAGTTAAATAATGAGGGGAACTTATCTGCATAAGTGTCCGGGATGGTGAGGGAAACTGCATGAGATCTGGACAGGAATCAGACTGCATTCCTGTTCAAATTGCATGCAATTCTTTGAAGTGCAATTTGAGCCGATTCATTTTGTATGGGCTCAAATCACACCACAAAGATATTGGTACTCGGTATTGACGACTACTTGACCAAAAGTATCAGTACTCCTACTCACTGGTAAAAAAAAAACAGTATTGGTGCATCCCTAATCTTCAGCTTGGAAAAACCACAGTTAATATTTCTTATCTGTTCCCTTTCCTTGATATTGTCTACATGTCTCCCTTCTAGAATATCCTGAAAGTTCTCCATACACAGATAGTGTATAGATGAGCATCTCTTCATCTTATTGATGAAGGACAAGTTTGGTAGGTTGCTGTAGTATGCCTTCAGAACATCTCCAAGCAGTACAGGGGGAGGAGTATTGCATAGTACAAGAAGGTTGCTTTTTCCTGGTCTTATCAACAGCTTGTTACTTTAGCTTCTCTGCCAGGAGTTTGTGTAGGGCTATCTCCAATTTTTCCCTGTGGGCTGATTCCTAGGGTCCCCCAAATCCGCTCGGATCCTCAGAGAATATAGCGTAGTGGGCCTGGTTGGAGGGGACATCATATACGAGCTTACAGAAGAGACCATTGCCTTATCGCAAAACATGTTAACGTATGCACAGAAATGCACCACAATGCAATGGAACCTACTATCAGTGTTCCTGTTTTGCCTCCAGCAGGGGAATTATGTACTCCCCCCGCAATATTAAATTTGACCACTAGATACAGCCCAGAATAAATTTACTGTTTTACAGAAATTATAAACTGTTTAGCCTTAATAAAAAAAAAAACTCCTTCAATCTAAATAAAAGAAACA